AGCAGCGCCTAGTTCTCGTGTGTAACCGTCTTTCCCTCAAACCCTGTTAGATCTAAGATAAGAGAAAGCTCTGTCTGAGAAAGCCCATTCTAGGGAGTAAACTCCCATAGACAGAAACTGTGTCTGTCTTAGTCACTGCTTCATCCCCGGCATTCAACCCTGGGAATTAAGCTGATGCTTAAAAACTATTTAGTGCATGAATAAATCTGAATGTTCAGTGACATGTTTGCTTGTATTCTGAAAGGAAAAGGGCTCTCTTGTCAAATAAATTTGGAAAAAGTTATATTATACACTCAATTTTGGGATAGTCATGATAGACATTAGTGTCCTAAAGTCTTTGAGACCTCTTCGTGTAATATCAGAATTCTGTTATCATTGTTTATCCGAACATTTGCCAAATTGTTCAGGAATTATTGGCCTAAAGCAGAGCTGGAGTAGTATAGTACCGGTACTTAATAAATACTTCCTAGGGTGTATTTACTGAATATGTGGCACTGCAATCCTGAGTTTGGTAATTCAGGGATTTTTAGAAGCCTTAGGAGGAGATGGTGGCTTCCAGGATATGCTGAGAGTAAAGAGTAGAGACTATGGAGAAAAAGTAATTGAGGGTAAGGACATGAATGTAAATTGTTTGATTTTGATCTTGTAATTCTACTTCTAGAACTTTATCCTAGGGAAGTAATAAGAACTTTATTAATCAGAATATTAATCTATTAGAACATTAAAAAGCTTTATCAATCAAAATACTACAAAACTTTATCAATCAGAAATTAATTATATTTCCATTTAAAAAAACAACCTAAGTGTCTCATTATAGGTAATTGGTTAAATAAATGATTAGGTAAATATTCAATGACTGTGGCTGTTTTAAAACATTTAGTGACTGTTTTGGTTCTTTTGTTTTGTAACAAAAACCCCCAAACTCAGGGGGCTTTAAGCAATAATTTATTATTTCCCACCACTTTGTGGGTTGATTGGTGGTCCTTTTTTTTACCTATAGTGTCAGCTGTCACTCATGCCCCTGATTTCAGATGGAAGCTGGGCTGGGCTGGAAGGGCTGTGGTGGCTTGTCTCTCTGGTCTGGTGTCTTGATGCTGGCTGGGGTACTTTGGTTCTCCTTCATGTGGCCTCTCTGTCCATGTGGTATCTCATCTTCTAGAACCTTCTGTGTGGCTACTCTTTTCAGCAAGGTAGCTCGGATTTCCTTACATCATGGCAGCTGGGTTTTAAGAGAGCAAAAACAAAAACTGCTTTGTTGATCTACGCAGGTCACAAGGCCAGCCCAGAGTCAAGGAGAAGGGAAGTAGAATCCATTTATTGATGGAAGGAGAGATAAATATGTACAAGATGGAAAAGAATTTTGGTGGCCATCTTTGCAGACTCATGGTGGCCATTAAAAGTCATGTTTTATAAAAATGTTTTATGGCATTTATGTTATATGGAAAAAGGAGATGATGTTAAGAATACAACACTGAAGAAAAAGGGGAATACAAGACTTTGTATAGATATAATACTGATTTTGTCTAAAATTATATATACACACATTTAAAAGGAGTTGGAAGCAACAACACAAACTTGTTAATGGAGGTTGTCCATGAGTGACAGGATTGAGAGTATTTTTATTTTCTTCTGTGTGCATATCTGTATTTTCTTAATTTTCTATACTAATCTTTTGGTTGTTTTAACAATTAAGATAACTATTAGGCCAATTAGAAAGTCTTGACAAATATCGAAGTTAGAAAACGTATGTGTTATAGTCTATGATCCCAGTGCCATAAAATTTGAACTACAAAGTTTTAAACCAAAACTTCTGTCCACTTTGACACGTAATTATTTTAAAATTTTTGTTATTTTTTTCTCGAAACATAATTGATTGTACATATCTGTTGGGTATAGTGTTGAATATCAGTGCCTGTGTGCAATGTGTGATGCTCAGATCAGGATAATTAGTATATTCAACATTACACAATATAATCATTTTTTGTGGCCCTTTACCAATTTCTTGCTAATCCCCACCCCCCTCTGGTGGTCTCAGTTTTGTTCTCTCCTTTTGAAAGTTCAATGTATTATTGTGATTATTTTATCTTTCTATCTTTTAAAAATTATTTATTTATTTATTTTAAGCTCCCACTTATGAGTAAAGACATGCGTATTTCTCTTTCTGTGCCTGGCTTGTATCACTTAATGTAATTTTCTCTAAGTTTATCCATGTTGCTACGAATGGCAGAATTTCATTCTTTTTTATGGCAGAGTAGTATTCTATTATGTAAATATACCACATTTTCCTAATCCAGTCATCCTCTGGTGAATGCTTAGGTTAGTTCCACCTCTTGGTGATTGTAAATAGAGCTACAGTAAACATGGGAGTTCATGTGTCCCTTCCACATGATGATTTACGTTCCTTTGGGTATTCACCCAGCAGTGGGATTGCTGGATTGCATGACACTTCTATCTGTAGTTGTTTGAGAAACCTCCATAGTGTTTTCCGTAATGGCTGCACTAAGTTACAGTCCCACCAGCAGTGTAGGAGGGTTCCCCTTTCTCTGCATCCTCACCAGCATTTGTGATTCTCTGTCTTTTTGATAATAGCTAATGTAAGTGAGGTGAAATGATATCTCAAGGTGATTCTGATTTGCATTTCCCTGATGCTGAGTGATGTTGAACATTTTTTCATGTGTCTGTTGGCCATTTGTATATTTTCCTTTGAGAAATGCCTATTCAGCTTCTTTGCCCATTTTTTAATTGGGTTACTTGTTTTTTAACTGTTAAGTTGTTTGAGTTCCTTGAATATTCTGGATATTAATCCCTTGTTAGATGCATAGTTTGCAAATATTTTCTCCCATTCTGTCACTTTGACATTTAAATATATCCTTCTGAATAATTCCTGGGGTAGAACAAATTTTAAAAGAAAACTAGCAAGCTATTCACAATTGACAAGAGTTTTGTACATATAATCCTGGAAAATGCAGTTATACATATATTCTTATATGCACTTATTAGAAAATGTGATTGCAGATAAATGAATGTTCAGTGAAAAAAGCAAAAACAAAATCTAAGCACAAAGGAAGTAGAAATTATTATTAAGGATAAAGAGATATGATGACATGGAAAATAGAATGTAGTAAAATGTATCAATAAAACCAAAAGCAGTGTCATTGAAACACTAAGAAAATAGACAAATATTCATCATATCGTCATCAAGACAAGCCGAAAAATAGGAACATTAGGAATGAAATGGGGACATAACTGGAGGTGATTTAAAAATTATAAGGAAATGTTATGCAAAGCCATACCAATAAGACTGAAAAATCTAGATGGAACAGACTGTTTCTGAAGAAATGTTTTAATGATAATTGACACAAAATAGGTAGCAAACCCAAATAGATCAGTAAACACAGTAACAAATGAAAACATAATTAACAATCAAGCTTATTCAGTTTTATGGGTGTGTTTTACCACACATTGCAGGAATAGGGAAGACTCGTATTATGCTAACTGTTCCAGAACATATGAAAAATGGAAAGCTTCTCAATCCATTCTATGACACTGGTGAAAACATAATTAACAATCAAGCTTATTCAGTTTTATGGGTGTGTTTTACCACACATTGCAAGAATAGGGAAGACTCGTATTATGCTAACTGTTCCAGAACATATGAAAAATGGAAAGCTTCTCAATCCATTCTATGACACTGGCATAAACCTGATTCTAAACCCAGAAAAGGAGAGCCCGAGGAAACTGTGGGCTAGTGTCATCATATATTGATTTTTAAATAAGGAAACGTTATTTCAAACAAGATTATATATCTATGCATGTTATATGTGTGTATTGCATGTGTGAGTGTTTCCAAAAGGAAAAAGTTCACTTTTGTTTGTTCGTTGTTGTAATTCTCCAAAGCCTTGGCCAGCTGGGCTGGTAATATCACAGGATTAACTCTGCGTGGGTGTAAATTTTATGGCATTTGGATGGGGACCTCAAACCCAGCCAGAGACCTCAGAAATGTCTGCCTCTAGATACAAGGGGAGAAGACAGGTGAGGAGAAGTTAGATTTAATCACTTCTTCTAGGAAGACAGCTCTAAGTGATGACCCAGCTAGAATCTAGATACCTGAATTCTAAGGATGGCAAAGATAACAAATTCATTTAACTGTTGTTAACATGGTGTGCTGTTCCCCTGTGCCCTTTCTGAAGTGGTGTGAAGTGGCTAATGTGACTATTAAGGTCAAACAGAATGGAAAAAAATTTTCAAAAGGCCAGCCTGAAAGATGTGTGTGAAAGGGGAGAGACAAGACTGTTGTTTTCTCTGGTGAGGCCATTGAGGATCTGGCTGTGTGTATAGGTGTCTCGCTGGTTGAGCCACCTCTTTTTCATCTAGGTCCAAGATGGCCAATAGGTTCCAGCTCGTGTGTCAACGCCTGTTGATTGGTGGTAAACCACCCTGAGTGTTGTGTTGAGAAGAGTTGTGAACCTAATTGGAAAGAGGACTATGATGGATTAGTGATGTCTATAATGGGTAATAACATGCTTGCCAGATAGTTGACATCCTGGGAAGCTTTCAGCGTCACTTTCAGAGTCCCTGTCAAGCCACATGTGTATAAGGGTCATGTCCCCAAGAGTGGATTATTTTATAGCAAAGATCTCCATGATGGGAATTCCATGGAGAATATTCTGGAGTTCCTGAATCTAACTGAGCACAAACCAAACTGGACATCATCTTTTTCCTAAGGGAAAAAGAGCTCCTTTTTTGCTCTGAGGGGCTTTTGACCTTGGTTGGGGCAGGGCAGGGGAATTTATAAAAAGTTTACATATAGTAAGTAAAGTTTTGGGGCCATGTTTCTTTTTAAATGAACATCATGGTGTGACTCAATCAACCAACCTATCTATCTACGATTCATCTATTATTATCATAATTTATCTATCTGTATATTTTAGATTATAATGCAGTTACAGTCAGAGTTTTAAGGAACTTTGTTTTTGATTATCTTTTTTCTCATTTTGCAGATCTCTGATTGGAGTCGTTTTCTGGTAGACTGTGAAAGGAATGCAGTGAAAATTCTGGCCAACAGTGAAAATATTAGCTTAATCCCCAATTTAGTATAGCATTTCTCCTCTTCAGTAGCACCTCATAATAGAAGAAAAATGTATGGAAGTGCAAGAACAATCACCAATCTGGAAGGTAGCCCTTCCAGATCTCCTCGTTTGCCAAGGTCTCCTCGTTTGGGCCACAGAAGAACAAGTAGTGGGGGAGGGGGAGGAACAGGCAAGACTCTGTCTATGGAGAATATCCAGTCCCTTAATGCAGCCTATGCTACGTCTGGACCCATGTATCTGAGTGATCATGAGGGGGTGGCTTCAACGACTTACCCGAAGGGCACCATGACTTTGGGAAGGGCCACAAATCGAGCTGTGTATGGAGGCCGAGTCACAGCCATGGGGAGTAGTCCCAATATTGCTTCCGCTGGACTTTCTCACACAGATGTCCTTTCATACACGGATCAACATGGTGGTCTGACCGGCTCATCCCATCATCACCACCACCAGGTACCCTCCATGTTGAGGCAGGTAAGAGATAGCACAATGTTGGATCTTCAAGCCCAGCTCAAGGAACTCCAGAGAGAGAATGACCTCCTCCGGAAAGAGCTAGACATCAAGGACAGCAAGTTGGGCTCTTCCATGAACAGTATCAAGACTTTCTGGAGTCCTGAGCTTAAGAAGGAGAGAGTCTTGAGGAAAGAAGAGGCAGCCCGGATGTCCGTCCTCAAGGAGCAGATGAGGGTTTCCCATGAAGAAAATCAGGTAGGTTATGACTCAGTGTTTTTCAGCCTTGGCTTCTCACTGAGTAGTTGATGCTTTGCAGATGGTACCACGACCTGTGCAGAAGAAAGTTTGGCATCATCAAGAAGGTTATAGCTTAGTATGTGTTTGACTTGGACACCACAAGAGAGCATAGGAAATACGAAGTAGTTGATGCTTTGCAGATGGTACCACGACCTGTGCAGAAGAAAGTTTGGCATCATCAAGAGGGTTATAGCTTAGTATGTGTTTGACTTGGACACCACAAGAGAGCATAGGAAATACGAAGTTACAGCTTGTGATTTCCTTATCTTCCAATAACATTTCCATATAGTTGCAGAAGGGGGGAGGATCACTTCACTCCCTAACTTTTGTACTTGTTTAATTTTGTTTTCTTTTTCAGCAGTCACAACAGCGATTCAGATGTACCTCCCTCTGAATAGAAGAGGACAGTGTTAATTTCTGCAAGAGTAAACACTTTAACAGCAACATTTAGAGGGTCACATTTGACTGGTGGTGAATTATTTATTTATTTATTTTTTGAAGCACCAGCAGCATTATTTCCTCCTAGAATGAGTGGAATTTGTTCTCTAAGTAGTGAACTGAACAATGTTAAGTGGGATTGTGTAGAGTGGGTGTCATATCATGGTAGAGAATCACAATACATTCTAACTTGTTCTTTCTGCCTTCATCCATTCAATATTAATTAAATATCTACCGTGTGCAGGGTACATTCTTTCGCTTCTTTGATCCATCCTGCGTATCATAGCAGGATAGTTTCCCAGTGTCCACCTGGAGTTATGCCATTCCTCTGCTTTAAAGTCCTAAGTGATTACTTGTTGCCCCCAAATGAAGTCTACCTCCTTGACTGAGCCTATGTCATCCACCGCTGGAAGGCCTGGGCCAGCCTTTCCAACCTCATCTTGCACTGCCTCCCTGCACATGTGCTACCTGTACCCACCTCTTGCTAATTCCTGCACACACCCAAGGCTTCCTACCTCACTGCCTCTGCTCTTGCTGTTCCCTTTCACTGGTGGCCTCTCTGCACCCCCTCGTCCTGCTGCTTTCCTTTCAGTCCCAGCCAGTTTTTATTTTCAAATCCTACCTATTCTGTGAGGCCCATTTTATATGCTGCTATTTTCATCAGGACTTTGGAGTCAGACGTACCTGGGTCTAAATTCTAGCTTCACCTCTTATGGGTTGTAAGAAAAGTGCTAAGAGATGGGAAGTAGAAGGTACTGTTCCATTTGGCTAAAAAATTCCCAGATATCATTTAACTTTCTGTAATCATTTGAATCAGTGTTAACTTGTCTGAACTAGTGATTCTCTGATAATTGCTCTTCATGTATGTGGGCCTAATGATGTGCTCTGCCTTTTTTGGGGTCATCTGCTGACCCTCCTATCTGTTTCCCTGGCTACCACTCCTTTGGAGTCCAAGTGCCCATGGAAGCTTTTGTGACCTATATGAAAATCTGTCTTTTGTTCTCTTCTATGTGCAGAAAGCAATCACCTTATCCACTTGATTATCTGACCAAGCCATTGCTGGTTTTTAGATGTGGAAATGTGATTTTTTTTAGTTGGAACAGAAAGCCTTGTTCTTCACTCCTGAATCAAATTAATGCTCTTTGCTATCATTTCTGCTTTCTTTTGACTGCTGGTTCATGAAGTTCCTGTGAACCTGTTACTACAATGCGCATTTCCACCGAATTCTGTACTGATTTTCTCCTCTTTTTAGTTTTTTTGGAAAATAGTTAAAGCAGTTTAGGAATGATGTAAGTAGTGACAAAAAGTTTGAAAGCTGTTTGCTAAACTCTCAGCTCCAAAATGATTTTTATCTCATGCTTCTATCATTAAATTTATTTTTGAGCACAGACCCCCAATTATACATGTATATTTATTTATAAATTACATGATGTACTATTGTGCTGATATACTATGTGTCTTTTATGACATTTGTGAAGAATTAAATATGGATGAGATAAAGTAAAATAAATAATATATTGAGATAATTTTAATAACACACAAAACCTTTTTTTTTGCTTTTAGTAAAAACATTTAAAAACCCTTGTCCATTTCATGACAGTTAGTTCCGTTTAAACTAGGTAATATCCATAATGCCACTTATGTGTCTTGTTGCCATAAGCCAGAAGTGAGTGAATGCTTGAGGGTGTGTCCATTACCTCTTCCTTGTTCTGGCCCCTGCCACGATCACAGGATGCCTTGGCTATTGTAGGTGACTTGTGACTATGTGACATATGACTCAGTGGAAACCCCAGTATTAATCCTTATATTAAGTATAAGTAAAATATAATTGTTTTCACTTTTAGGTTTAAAAAATATAAAAGGAGGAAAAAGCATGGAGAGTTTGAAACGTCAATTTACTTGCAATATGATGTGGTATTGCAAAGTAAAGAATGTAAAGATTGACAAAAAGCAAGACATTTAAAAAAAATTTTTTTTTTCCCAGTGGTCACATACGGTCTAGTTGTGGGGAGGCTCGGGGAGGATGGGGCATCAAGAGCAGCATTTTTACCAAGTTGATATAAAAATGAAACAGGATCTGAACATGGTCCCTGCACTGACAGTTACAGTTAATTTCAAAATCCGAGCAGCGAATTGGAATTGTTTCTTGAAAAATGAGTAGACAGGCAGAGTTGGTGCCGGGTACAGTCAGCAGGGTCGGAGGGCTGGGCTGCGTCCTGCAGGGCCTGCATCTTGGGTGCAGCTGGGGCACTGAGGACTGGGGCTGTGGGCTCCGGTGCCTGCTCCAGGATCTTGGCTCCTCAGGGACTGGCCCACCCCTGCCCTTCTATTTTTTAAAAATTGAAGCCCCCTTTCTTTCCCTCTCAGAAATATATTAAGATCTCTTTTAGAGGTATATGAGTACCTGCTTGTCAGGTTAGGATGGGTTCTGCTGCAGTAACCAACAAACCTCACATCTCAGTGGCTTAACATATCAGGGGTACATTTCTTATTCACCTTAAGTATGAAGCAGGTTAAGTGACTTTCCAGGACAAGTCTCTTCCATGTCGTGAGTCAGGATCCAGGCTTTCTGCATCTTGATGCATGGCTTTAAGGGTCGATATGGCAGGGGAAGAGTGCCTGGAGATGACACTTCGGTTCTTCAATTCCTTGGACTGGAAGTGACACAATTGAAGGGTGTAGGAGATATATCTTCTTCTCTGTTCAGGAAAGAGAGGAGAAACAGATTGGGGGATCATTGCCAGTGGGGTTTTTGTGTTTTTCAAAAAGTTGGAGCTAGATGAAATAACGATTAGGGAACAATCTAGACTTCTGCTGTTGCTGCTGTTTCTATTATTACTGCAACAGCTACCAGTAGACATCTGTTGAGGGCTTATTAGGTGGTAGGCATTGTGCTTACAGCTTTATGTACATTATCTTATTTAGTATTTCCATCATATCATCTGTGGTAGGTGCTAGAATTTTTCTCATTTTACAGATGAAACATAAATATAGAGAGAATAAGCAATGTGCCCAAGTTCAAATGTTGGTAAGTGGCAGACTGGGTTTTAAGGCTTTGGTCTGTTTCATGCCAAGGCCTAAGATCATAACTTTATGATCACTACCTCCTTAAAGGATCACTGAGCTGTGAATAGAAGCATAGTATATTAGGAAGATTATACTACATATGTGTTAGATGAAAAAAATTACTAGTTTTGATGGAAGATTAAGAATGGGATTTAGTTCAGTTAGGATTTTTATTCTTAATTAGGAACTTATTTCTTTTTCCTAATTATGATTTTTGTGCTGTTTAGGATTTCCACTATTTACCATAATTTCTTTTTAGAGGACAAATCATGGAAACTTTTTCTACATGGAAAATGGAACACAAAAGAGATAAGGGACATTTGATTGTGGTTTCTTATCCACAACAACCAGATGGCATCTACAAATGTAATTCTTCCTGGGGTATTTAGATAATTAGAATTGTACTAACCTAAATTCAGATGATCTAAAACAATTTGAACTGTGCTATGTGAAGAAAAGCCCATTATAGGGTGGAGGTGAGGAAACTCAAGTGCTGTTATGTATGAAATTCATGTAATTCATAGTAAATTTAATGCTAACTAGCACAGACCCCTCCCCCCCTCAACCTTATGTCCAGTGTTGTAGAGGGTTGCTACTCATTGATTTATTTGTAGTAGATTTTGAAGGCCTTATGGTTCTGTCCAAGGGAACTGAACCCAACTCCAGATTTAAGGGAGGATGTGAACTCCCTCTCTATATTACAGGAAGGGCAGGGTGGTTTGGAATCTTGGGGCCAGTGGGTAGGTGGTCACAACTAAATTTCTTACATGCAAAGGGATGATGCTTAGGTTCCTGGCTGGATATTTGATCTCCTTCCTCCTCCCCTCTGCCACTTTCCCAGGTTCTTTCCAAGGCTCTACTTCTCAGCCACACAGATCTGCATGAATATAAATATATTTGTTACTGCTAAGAGTTGCTGTACTGAAATTTAGAATCATTTGCTTGTTAGTATAAAGCAGAATGCACGGATACAGAGTTATCTTTATGCTATCACTTGTGATTTTGTTTCATGATGAGCTTTCTTGAATTGGGGGAGAGCGGGGTGGAGTATTATGGACAACTAATTCTTTAGAATGGCATGAACCCGTAGCCCATGCTCTCAGTGTCACATGTGTGGTCTGATCAGGGCAGAGGTGAGGAGAAAATATTGAGAATGGATGTTCTGCTGTCACTTGATGAAGCCCCCTTATTATTTTTAATGGCCCATGGGTTTGGCAATAGATGTTGTGGGTGACCAGGTAGGTATATGTACAGGGAAGTAGAGTGACCTAATTTCCTCTAAAAGATATAGGTTTGTCTTTTCTTTACAGTTCCATTTAATTTACCTGTGTGATGGAGATCAGAGAGAGACAACATGGTAGAAAATAAATTTCCAGAAAGTTCACAGGACTTATATCTTGAAGTTTGGTGCATATTAGTGATTGACTTTTCATATTTCTGGATATATTGTATAA